ATATATACAGTATATATATATATATATATATATATATATATATATTTAAAAATGTAATGCTATTGGATGATATTGATCATAAATTGGCTGATAATGGATTTTTAATTAACTAATTTAATTAAGTACATGTCCATTTCCCCTTTTTTTACATTTATATTACTTATGCCATTATCTAGCATTCACTTAAATTCTTTAAAAGCGTGAATAATTTAAATTTCTCAAAATAATTATCCAAGTTTCATACTGTATATTATAATGTTATGATGCCTAAACTTGTAGCATTTAACATAATTGATTTTATATTTTATTTTTCTTTATTTGTTTAGATAAAATAGTGGCAAATTTTAATAACAGCCATTTATTGGTAATTGGCCTTAACATGAAAAAAAAATATATCGGCTTATAAGTATCGGATACTGATTGATTTTATTTATTTTATTTTTTTAACTTATTTAGACAAAATAGTATAGAATTTTAATATCAGCCATTTAGCGGTTATTGGCCTTAACATAAAAAAAATATCGGTTTATTGGTATTGATCAACTGATTTTAGCTTTTAGTTTTTATATAGACAGTGTTTACTTATGTAGACAAAATCCTTTAAAATTTTAATATAATTTATCGGTTATCCACCTTAACATGGAAAAAATTATGAGCATATCATTATGAGCTGATTAATTTTAGTTTTAAGAATTTTATTTTTCATTTATTCCGACAAAATTGTATATAATTTATCCGATAAATAGAAAAAAAAATTTATTATCGGTAATAGCCATAATGTTACTATTGGTGCATTGTGAGATGCTCTGTTTCTCAGCACTGCATTCTGTACATATACTCCATCTTCACTAATCTGTGGCCCAACACTGTGGCCTGGATGAGCTGAGGTCTCCTGTAACAGAAGGAGGTAGTTCAGAGAGGTTGTGTAGGCAGGAGAATAGCCGTCCATTGTGTGTTGCACCACGCTCTGTGTTTGAGCAGACAATGCATGTGTCAGGTCAGCTGCCTGAGCTCTGCTACAGTAGCACATTGTTTGCATGATCCACATCTCGCTCTGGAGACAGTAGACCTCTCAGCTCTTGACGGTGACTCAGGGGCATCTGTACACACTGGCGACAGTGTCTGCTGATCACACCTCTGCTGCCGCCCGCTGAAAATCTCAGTCATTCCGCTTGTCTGTGAACTCATCCATCTTTCTCGAAGACAAGCCTTGTTTCTTGCTTTCGGCATCAACTTTGGCATGTCTTTGAGGTAAAATGATAGGGTTTAGTGGCTGTTGTGAACTGCAGGTTAGCTGTGTTGATTGGCGACCCAGCTGTTTGAGTGGTATGGTTTCCCAGCACCCCCTTTCTGGTGATCTGCGGAGGTTTTTATAATCTTTTCTGGATGGCTGGGAAAGGCACGGGGAGGGGGATGTGTCAGAGACTGTTTGGGAGCCTCACTTTTCTTTAGTGGTGTCAGTCAGCAGGGCCGTGGCGTCCACGCTGAATCAATATGGCTTTTGTTGGAGGAGAAAAAGCTCCTTTACAGGCTTGGATCTTGGAGGGAAGCAGGGTGATGCAGGATAACAAGAGAATAAGCATCCTGACACAAGGTTTCAACATTCCCAAACAGGATCAATGTGACACATTTAGCAGTGTTAATTTTCAATCCTCATCTGTGATTTTCTCACAGCCACAGCGCATACTCCTACAAACCAGTCAACGTGACCTGATTGGTTGGTTCACTTGGGGTTGTTCATTGATTTCATGCTTATTTGGCCTGTTTTATCATTATAATGTCTGATCTTGGGTTTCATGTCAATAATCCCAGCTGTGCGCTTGGTATAATAACTGTCAGACATCCCATATACTCAGACCCCATCACACAGACTCCATCCATCTATCATAGGAAAGACTCAACTGACCATGACAGTCACAAATGGGACAATTTTCAGCTTTATATTTGGCTTCCATAGGTTTTCATCTCTCATATGTTTGATTTTCAGTGTTTATTTCCTCTTCATGTGATTGAAGAGTAACTGAAGTGTGGCAGGCTGAGGTCTACCCGTGCCATTGTGGTGGCATTACTGATCGGAAAGGTCTCCATTAGTTTATAAAATTGCATGTGTTCTCAGACAGCCTGTAATTAGGCCTGTTTGTATCAGAGCCCAGGCTGCCGTCAGCAATATCTGCTGGTGGAATAAACAGGAGGAAAATCGCTCCAAGTGTGTCAGTAAAATTATATTTTAATAACTATTCATAAAGTTTGGAGTAAAAATGCAATAATTCTCAGCTGATTTATTAAACATCTGCTAGAACTGACTAGCGCGGTACATTAAAATTAATGTGTTTAGGTTTGAAGGTTTGTTTTAGACTAGTACATGCTTCCTAATTCTCTTCTGTTGAATAGTATGATGTTGTTCGAAAGTTTGGTTTTGGTAACATTTTAATGTTTTGTATGCGCAACAAGACTCCATTTATTTGATCAAAATACAGTAAAAACAGTAATATTGTTACAATTTAAAATAATAAAGAAATCCCTTAGTTTTCATTTTTAATGTATTTTAAAATGTAATTTATTGGAATTTTCAGCATAATTTCCCCAGTCTTATGTGCCACATGATCTTTCAGAAATCATCCTTATATTCTGATTTGCTGCTCAAGAAACATTTCGTATTACCATTTATGTGCTGCTTCATATTTTTGCGGAAACTGATGCATTTTGTCATGATTCTTTGATTAATATAAGTTCAAAAAACAGAAGTGCTTTGAAATAGAATTCTTTTGTAACAATGTAAAAGCTTTTACTGTCACTTTTGATCGATTTAATGCATCCTTGCTGAATAAAAATATAAATTTCTGACTTCAAACCTTTGAACAGTAGTTCATTGGTTATCTATTTTATTTGATGTAATGATATTTATGTGTCCTGACTTTTTGTTTCACTGTCTGTCACCAAAAGGACCATGTTGGTTGGTTGACCAGCTAAGTTAACACTAATTAGCCTTAATCTGCCACTGCAAAAATATATAAAACCAGTGTTTTGTCGGATATTATGAACTATGAATTCATATTGCTGAATCAACTCGGCTATATTTAGCTCTATGAACAACACTAACTTTAAAGGGTTAGATTAGGCTCCTTATGGT